AAAGACTACAATCATTAACTACTTCACATAGTAAGTGCATTAGTTATCTAAAATTGCATGTCTAAAATCGATTTTATGCACTCTTTTGATTCAGTGTTAGAATTCCAGAAAAGCAAAGACAATGATTTGCGACACAATTTAATTAACTCAAAAATGACACGTAGCCTATATGACTGATTTATTTGCCAAATTTAATGAAACTAATTTGAAACTACGAGGTGACCAATTAAATTTAATCAGAACTAAAAGCATAATATCTGCTTTGTTGCAAAACCTTTTTCTGTACAAACAAAACTTGGGAAGAAGAGAGTGGTCTCAGTTTCCAAATCTTTCGAAATTGCAAAATAAAATAGAGATGAAAATTTGCTTGCTTACTGTCAATACCTAACTGCTGTTCATGTAGACCTGAACCAAAGATTTGAAGACATTCTTCACTTGGATATTCCTGACTGGGTGTTGAACCCTTTTGCACATGGACAAACTCAAATCCCAAACATGGATGAAGAATTCAGACTAATACAGAAGTAGTTTATTGAAATATCCACAAATGAGAAACTTAAACCAATGTTTGAACAAGGATACCATGAATTCTGGTTCCCCAAAACAGATCCCAATTTTATATCCTGTATTCATAATGGGTTATTTGTACAGAAGTTGTTGACTGCTTTTCTGTCTTCCTTTGGTAGAATGTGGATTCAGTGCCGTTATGAACCGCGTTCACACACACACACACACACACATTGAAAAAAAAAAAAAAAAAATCCGACTAGAAATTAGTGCTTATGGGGATTTGTCGGTTGCTGCTTACAAACACTGAGCCGGACATAAATACACTCAAAAGCATCTCATCAAAGTTCATCCAAGTCATTAATTTTTTAAAAAAATTTATTCTTAAACCAAAAGTTATAATTTCAATAAATACTTCTTCAACAATTTTTTCCCCCAATTTGTAATTTTTATATTATGCATTTATGTAGCTTTTTCACTTCGGGGTCTGTGGGCAAGTTTTGACTATAAAAAGCGGTCCATGGGTCAAAAAAGCTTGGGAACCACTGCTCTACACATTTGGAATTGTTACATATATATATATAGTGAGAAATTTAGAACTAATACTTCACAAAGACCAAAAATTGAAATTCATAATTAATAAGTTTCAAATAATCTTATAAATGCAACAAAGAATTTTAAAAATGTTAAAATCAAGCGCGAAAATACTAGGCATGTTTATATTTTGTTTTCAAAAAGTATTGTTTTGTAATTAGCTATATATATAGAAAATTTTTAATAACTAAGTTTGCTAACTACATTTTTGGTTAATTTGAATATCTTTAAAGAAAGAAAAACTGATAAATTGCTTCTTTGAAAGATAGGCATTAACTATCTGGAGAAGGATTTTCTAAGGATAACTGGCTGAAATTTATAGCTTTCTTGGTCTAATTTAGAATTTTTGATTTACTGGGGAATTTCCTGCACATACATAAAAATGATAAGTTACTAGAATTTCTGAAAATTGTATTATTTGCATGTGAACTTCAAATCCAAATTATTCAAATAATAATAATTATAAAGCCAAATTCAAATTATTCCATTTCTTTGGAAATAAAAGGTAGATGGAGCTTCAACACACAGCATGATGCATTGTACCTAAACATAAATTAGTCCTATTGCAGCCTAATCAATGTAGAAAAGGCACAAAGGAGTGCTAGTCCGATATGTTAGATGGTAAGCTAATGACAGTAGAATAACAGGAATAATAAATTGCTCACTGGAGATTTAAAAAAATAGAGTTCCTGTCTGAACCTTAAAGTTTCTGGATATGCTGATAAAGACAGGTGTATAGGTTATTCTTATATGTCATCTCAACTGTTAACCAAAATGTGCAAAGGTTTCAGGAATCGAATGTTCCCTCGTTGTCTTTTTTCCAAGTATCAGTTACAACCTAATACTATTGTATTTATGAATGCTTAGCATGCTTGTCTTGTTCTCACATTAAGAAAAAGCAAGGTGTTCAAGTTAGAAATGTAATATATTTTTGAAAACTTTGTCTGTTTAAGTTGTTTTAGCAAGGGTACTCCTATTTGTATTGTAAATTTAAGCATTAAAATATGCTAAAAGGAATTCTGTATAAAATTAACAAAGCAAATGAATTGAACTAAATCTGTTACATATTGAAAGAAATGGAACAATTTATTAGCAAAGATAATAATAATAAATAGCTTTTCATAGACTGAAAACCAAAAATTTTCTGAAGATTGATAGAACAATTTGAAGTTAGCTTAGTGGGAAAACTTTTCAAGGACTACATGATGATTCATAAAAGTGATCAGGCCATAAATTCACCAGTTAAAAATATCTGTTTTCTCATATATATATATAATGCAAAATGAGTAAATCATCAATTCCTGTGATTACTGATTTGATTCGGAGAATATAAAATAGATGTCTGTGCAGAAATTGTATGAATTTTGAAGTATAGATTGACTTAAATATTTATACCACTTTTTAATCCTGTCAAGTATTCATATTTTAGTTTTCTTGACTGTTATATAAAAAAAATAACAATATTATATATAGCAGTCAACAAAACTAATATTTAATCTGTAATTGAATAATATTAATTAATTATTTTAATCAATAATTTATTTAAAATATTAATTGATGTTAATATTAATAATGATGATTATTTTTTAATCATTGGATTAAGAAATTGGAATGAAATTTTTGGCATTTTAAAAAATTAACCACTAATTTAAGGAAATTGTAGGACAGCTAAATAAGCTATCTAGAGAGTAATTACTAAGAAGATTATCCAGAAATGAGAATTTAAGAAATATGAATTTTTTTTCCCGTGTGTTCTAGAAGTTAACACAAATGTGTTGCTTGATTTCAGCTACTCAAAATTCTTGAGATGTTACTTTAATGAACTTAAAAAGGTTTGATTTATTTGATTATTTTTTGAAATTACACTCTTTTGCAAAAAAAATCAAAGCACCAAGAAGGACTTTTGTGATCCTGATGGAATTTGGTATGCAAAAACATCTTGATCGAATATGCAAATGATCAAAGTTTCAAAACAAATGAACAGGAATTGCGATCATAGCGTGCATTTCTAGTGCGCAATTCGCAAATTATAAAACCAGTAACAGAAGCGGAAAATTTATCTTTTTTTGTTCTGCCATTGTAATTCCACAAAGAAGCAACTAAAGATGCCTTATGACGATATCCAAGACCTTACAGACAACTAAACGACTTCGAACGTGGTTACATTGTAGGATTGCGTGAAGCTGGGTGGTCATACCGAGCAGTAGGCCGCCACCTGCAGCATACAGACACTGCTGTGCAAAGTTGATGGCAGCAATGGTTGCTACAAGGAAATTGCCGAAAAAATGAAGGCTCTGGAAGGCCAAGGAGCACAAATGCGAGGCAAGATAGGATGATTGTTCACCAGGCCCGAACTGCCCCAACAGTATCATTGTCAAGTATTCAACACACTACAGCAACGTCTACACCTCCCGTGGTATCGTTCACCATCTCACGCCGTTTGTCTGAGCAGGGTTATGCTCACAGAGGCTTTTGAGACATTTGCCTTTGACCCCCACAACATCGGAGAGTCGTCTGGAGTGGTGTCAAAGCCGATCATTATGGCTGCCATCAGACTGACATTGTATAGTGTTCAGCAATGAATCCCGCTTCACTCTTGAAGCAGATGACCACTGTGTTCGTGTCTGGAGAGGACAGGGCCAGCAGTCCCAATCAGCCTTTGTTTTACAAAGGCATAAAGCCATAACCTTGGTGTGAGGGTGTAGGGTGCTATTTCTTATGACAGCAGGTCATTTTTTGTCTTCCTCCATCCATCTTTAACAGCTCAACGATATGTTGATACCATCCTGAAGCTGGTTGCATTACCCTTCATGGCACGTCATCCTGGGGCCATTTTTCAACAAGATAATACCAGGCGACATACCACTCGCATATCTCTGGACTGTCTCCGTACGGTTGATACTCTTCCTTGGCCAGCAAGATCACCAGACCTTCACCAATCAAGCATGCCTGAGATATGGTAGATTCGGACACCACAAAATATGTAGATCTGGAGGGATAACTGATGAATGCCTTAATGTGTTGCAAAATGACATTAGGAACCTCTACCACTCCTTGCCTCGACAAATTCAAGCATGCAGTGCCACCTGGGGCGGTTCGACCAACTACTAATTTGAACACTCGGTGGGTGACTTTGAGCTGTGAACACGTACTATGACCTTGATTTTTCAATCATTTTATTATCTCTGTATGAGCTATACACATATTCAATTTCATCAAAAACAACCACTTCCTTCATGGTGCTTTAATTTTTTTGCAAAAGCGTGTATTCGATTGATTGTTTATTTTCAAAAACTGAATAAATTGCATAAAACATGGTGTCTAAAAATTTAAACATTAATGTGCTATGTTTTTTATAATCACGAATTAATTCGGCAACCATATTACTTTTTTGATGTAGTCTATCTGTGACCCATTTAAATAGTAAGTCTTAAATTAAACGAATCATTTAAAGTATTTTCTCAGCTGTTACATATATATGAGTATTGCAACTAATCCAGATATGTTCTCAGATGTTTTATTAGTGACCTGCAATTGCTTTTTTTCATGTATTTTCATGCTATTTGCTTACTCCGTAGCTATAATTTTACTTCCAGCCTGGTTTTAACTTTCCTAAATATAAAGTCTACCTTTGATGTAATAAAACAAATTCTTTTATTTGAATTTTATTCTTTTTTAAATGCTTGGGAAAATGTTAAAGTAAATGATACATCTTATTGTGGTTACATTTGAGTTAAAAAAATTACAGATCTGAATTATTTGTAACTTAAATATAACTAAAAAAGACATGACATTAATTTTTGTATTTTTTAAAATTACTGTTTGTTTTAATTTTTAATAGAAGAAACAAACTGTATGCTTTTAATATTGTGCTGATGTATTTTTTAATTCTATATTAGATGACAGATCTAGGTCAAAGGAGAAAAAAAATTTTATTGGAAGTTTGAAAAGGAAGTTAAGCTTTCGTAAACCACGGTCGAAATCAGCTGAAAATAGATCAGAATCTGCAGAATCTAATTATAGTCATGGGAGTAGTCGCAGTGCTTCCACAGATCGCTTTAAACATCTTCCTGGTCATAAACTTTCTCCGTTTAAAGGAAAATTTATCGGTTAGTGCATTTTTAGAAATTCTTTACCTTTAATTAGTTTCTAGTAATAAAATATCGTGTTTCAAGTTTGGGATAATGAATGTGTAGATTAGTGGTGTGTGTGTGTGTATGTGTAAGTGTATATATATGTATGGGTGTTTGTATATATATATATATATATATATATATATATATTGTATAGGTGTGTTTATAAGATATAAATTATGAAAGACAGTTACTAATAAAATTACTTTAATGATAGTCCTTTTAATTTCTGATTTTAACTTTAATGCATCTCCTTTCAAAAATCCATATTGCACGATTTGCATCGTCATTTAATCTGCAGTGCTGTGACCTTTTATCTAATGGAAACAAAGGAACCAAGGAAACAAAAAACTACATCACCTGGGAAAAAGTGAAAAAGTATGCAAAAAATTTAGCTACTGTATATGCACTTACTCCGTTGCTGTTGTATTGCAAGCACATAATTAACCACTTGGCAGTTTCATCTATTATCTGAAAATGCTATTTGTTTTATATAATATATTTTGTGAGTGCAGATAGCACCCATTGTGCTGTGCCAATCAAGGAACTATGTCTTCATAGTTGTCAAGTATTATAAAAGCATTGCCATATCTGTGATTTCTATAACTACTCTGGCCACGATTGCAGAGGTAATTGAAGTCTTCTTCTCTCATCATATCATTTAAAATATCACAGGTGTGTATGTTATGTATGTGAGGTGTGTATGTATATACAGTAGCACACAAAAAAAAACTGCATCACCTGTGGAAAAGTGTGCAAGTAATGTGTTTTGTATAAATATACTACGCAAGGATATCATATTATTACAACAAAACAAAGTTGTAGGATTGAGCTTAATCAAATTTTAGTAGGATTAATAAATTATTTACATTTAATTACTCAGAAAAATGAAAAGAATAAAAAATGCAGTATTTAACAAAACACGGAACAAAGCAAGTAATTTAAAAATTTTGTAGTTAATGTAAATTATACATAATTGCAGCCATCATATTATGTGTAATTGTATGTGTTTACATTCACAAAGATCACTTCAATATTTAGTAAATCTTCCACGAGCTGCAATGAATTGGAAGTTGATCTTTCAGCACTATCCGTATCTTCAGGGCAGATGTTTCTATTTTATTTGGCTTATAATTCCTTTACTAAATGTAGTATTTCATCTCAATGTACTCCATCTTTGATATGATTTAAATCAAATTCCTCGTCATTATAATTCGCTTCCGATAGTGAAGAAAGGGACACAGAGGTTATTGAAAACGAAAAAATTTCAATTCACAAATTAGTCGGTATTCTCAACACAGCAATTATAGGACTTCAGCAGCAGAACTTTGTAACCGAACAAGAAATTATGTCTGTTTATAGAATTAAAGAAGTATTATCACATAAAATGAAGCAACTTTAACAACTTACATTGAAAGAAATGTTTAATAAAGTAAACAATAAAAAATATTAAGCTTTTTTTTTTTTTTTTTTTTTTTTTTTTTTTTTTTTTTTTTTGATACCCTTTAAAAATCATAATTGTTCTTTATTTCATAAATTACGGTTTCATATTTTTAATTTTATAATTTCTGTGTACCATCTTACCAGATTTAAACTGATGATCTATAATTAGGAAAAACTGATAATTCGGAATCTCCGAAGTCCCGACGAGTCCGGATTAAAGACTTTTGACTGTATTATTACATGGATATCTGCCAATCTGTGTGCATGTGTATGACAATTTTTTCGTTCATGATAACTCTTATATAACAAACTTCCAAAAAAAACTGAATTTTTGGTATTTTAGCTTTCTGCATTTATCTAAAAGCAGATTAGATATTTTGGGTGAAACTGCACAACCGGAAGTGGTTTACTTAACCGTAAAATGTTTTATTGGACTACTGTAAGAGTGGTACTAAACTTGAAGTGAAAAACTATATTAAAATATAATCCGAAACTTTGTTATATCCGAACTGGGACATGTTCTAACTGGGGTGTAAGGATGCTTCCATGTCTCATTAGAGGTGAATTTTATGCAAACAAGCTCCTTTTTTCAAAATTAATTTGAAGCAATTGAGAAATGTGAAGTTGTGCAGTTTTTTTAATCTTATAGTCTGGAGAATGGGGATGAGCTTAATTTGCAACACGTTCACTGTATTACTTGAATTTGTTGCACCAAAGCTTCACTCTTGATTATGAAAAGGTATCTTTCCTAAAATAAGCCTGCAATCTATGGTAAATTTTGCGTATTTTCATTGGTGACTGTCAATAGAAATGTACTCCTGACACAGATTTTGTCGGCTGCTAAATGAAGCATGGGACAAGCCAACTGGTTTAGTTCCTTAACCCTAGGCAATCCAACTTAACGACCTCAGCTGTCCACTCATATGCGGGTACTTTTCCTGATGCTCAGCTAGTAAAAGCATATTTATACTTGATTGCCAGTAAAGCTAAATGAAGCATGGGACAAGCCAACTGGTTTAGTTCCCTAACTCTAGGCAACCTAACCTAATGACCTCAACTGTCTACTCATATACAAATAAATTTCCTGATGGCCAGTCAGTAATGGCTTATTTATACTTGTTTGCTGTACATGTTTTTGTATGTTAAATTTATATAAATCTGTAGTCTTAAAAATATCATGTCCTAAATATACTTGATATTATGTGTGCTTTTTATTTATATAAATAAAGTACTGTTTGTTAATTATATTTTTTTCTTTTATGCTTCCAAACATCAATTATATATGGTAAGCTAATAATTAATTGCACTAAATATTTTATATAACTTTTTTTCATTTCAAATAATTTTCTCATACCTGTAGTAATTGTATAGATTTACAATTCTAAACTGCCATATATTAATTAGTTTCCTTTCCCTACAGGACAAAAACATTTAGCTGTTCCAGGTAAGATGTAATTCACTTAAGAATTTGTTTAGGTCCATGAAATATGAAAGGAAATTTTAAAAATGTTTTTTTCAGGCAGCACTCGTAGTAGCTTAAGTGAAGCTTCAGGAATAAGCGCCTCTTCCAGCCGAACCTACATCAATGAAAATTCAACTTTGGTGGTAGAAACTAATGAAAATGGTATTATTAGGTAAGTGGTTTCATAAATTGAATAATTGAAGTTTTTATATTATAAAGAGTATGTAAAATTGGAACTCCTTTTCTGTTATGTAATGTTAGACGAAACTTGTCAGTCTACACTTTTTATAGAAATGTTGATAATCATCATTTGATGGAATAAATTGGATATCACACTGTAAAAATTATCTTCCTTTCTTCAGTTGTGGATGGTGAAGCTCTAAACCCAGCACAGCCTACAATTGAGAGCAACTGTTGGAGTTTGGAAAGGAAAGGTTATACCAAGAGCTTGCCTAAGTAGTTTTTCAATATGATAAGATTCTTAATGCATGCAGAAATGAATAAATGCAAAGCAGCGATTGTATATGCTAAAATATGAAATTATATAATACAATATAAAATAGTAATTATATACTAGAGCCGAGGTGCTCAAACCAGGCGTGCAAGGCGACCCGGCAAGCTTCGTTATTATTATTATTTTCCTGCAACAATCTTTCTTGGGGTTGCACATAGAGAGGGTTCAGTGGGGAAGGTGTCAGAAACTTGGTTGTGGTCTTGTCTTGGGTTTTGGAAATATCGAGAGTAATGGCGTGTCTTAACGTGATCATTCTTATCACCTCTGTCCAATTTAAAATGACAATGCAAATGTGCACCTTGGGCCTGGGAGGTCTGGCTACCCAATTTCTAAAAAAAGAGGGAGAGATAAATTCTGGAAATGCCTGTGAATGACATGTACATGAACTTGAACGCAGCTACTGAGAAGGTCGAAAAATTTCACCGACAGGAGTAATTTCTGTATTATGCCTGCAGGTCAGAGTCGACCCTTGATTCGATTGTATGACACAATCTATTCAGTATTAACAAGGTACAAAAGGCAACTTTTGACCCGCGTTCTTCACCAGGCTTCTTCGAGTTTTTGGCAGTGACTTTTTTACTACTGCAGTGCCATGAGTGGGCCCAGCAAAAGCTAGAAGATACATAATTACAATTCCAGCTGGGAAGAAACGTATTGCTTTCTTGATGTGAAAGGAAAGTGCGTGTGTTTGCTGTATGCTGCTTCTGTAGCATTGGCCAAGAAACATAATATGGAATGTCACTTTCAGACGAATCATGGAACTACCCGGAGGGTTTGGAAATTAGGAAGAAGAAAGTATGCGAGCTGAAATTGAAGCTTTCAGGGCAGCAATCAGTATTTTTAGGCCTGTTTCAAAGTGCAAAAATGCAAAAACAGCTTAGTTTAAAATTGCTCACTTGCTGGTGAAGAAGAGAAAACCATTTCAAGATGATGAGTTGCTGAAGGAAGCATTTTTTACGGGTGTCAAAAACATCTTTGACGGATTCTCTAACAAACGTGAAATCATCAATGAGATGCAGGACCTTCAATTATCAGAGAGCCCTGTTTTTAAAGAGAATAGAAGCACTTGATGATGACATGCAATTCTCAACTGAAGAGAGACTTAGAAATATGTGAATGGTTTTCTCTCCAATTTGATGAGTCCACAGATATTTCCGACATGTTGCAGTTAGCTGTTATGATAAGAATGGTATTTAACGACTTTTATATTAAAGAAAAATTATTAAAAATTCTGCCTTTAAAGATGAGAATGTGATGAGAGGACATTTATAACATTTTTAAGACATTTGCGGCAGAAATTGGCTTGTGGCTTAAAAAGCTATTGGCAGTTACCATTGATGGAGCATCTGCCATGACAAGAAGAATGGCTTTGTCGCTTTGTGCAAGAAAGACAGGTGTTTTCCAAACTTCATGTCTTATCATTGCGTCATTCATCAAGAAGCGTTGTGTGCAAAGATACTTCCATTTGAAGGCGTCATGGATGTTGTCACGTCAATTATCAACTCTATTCATGCAGCTCCTTTGCAACACCGCCATTTTGGTAAGACACTCAACCTCATCTTGCATGAAGAAGTCCGATGGCTGAGAGGTAAAGTTCTATCAAAGTTATTATCTCTAATTGAGCAGATAAAAAGAGTTCATGCAATCTAACCCTGACAAATTCGGTAAACACATTGAAAAACTAAATGACTCTTTGTGGATACTTGATGTGGCTTTCCTTGGTGATATCACTGAGAAACTCAACATTTTAAATCTGGATCTTCTAGGTTAAGACAAGGAGCTGGCTCAAATAATGGGATCTGTGAAAGCTTTCATAGCCAAATTAACATAATGGATGTCTCAAATAAGATCAAAGTCCCTGGTTCATTTTCCAAATGGGGAAAAAATGGCGAATGATGATAACTTTGGGTCCTTGCGATTTTCCGGCCGTCTCAAGGTGCCACTGGACGAATTTGAAAAGTGATTTCAAGATTTCAGTTGCCTGGAGCTAGTGGTGAGCTTTATTGTCAACCCATTTATTCACCACAAAGCAACTGAAACCGCCACAGCAATTGCAAGAATTATTGCCGCATAAGTGGTGAGTGAACCTTGAGCTGGATATAGTCGAAATGAAGAATGATATTATCCTTCCTGCAAGCACAAGCCACAGATGTAGACTTCCGGAAACTTTTCAAAAAAAAGAGTTTTCCACAATTAAGAATTGTTGCATATAAAATCAAATCTCATTCTGGGTCTGCCTACCTCCACGAATGTCTATTTTCAACCATGAACATTATCAAGTCTAAGAACCAGAGCTGGCTTATTGATTCGCGTATTGACAATTGCTTGCGTGCGGGAATCTCAGCGTATGCACCTAACGTACATATGTTAGTGGAAGAAATTCAGAGTCAAAAATTGCATTAAGGGCCACATCATAAACAAAGGAGACACGACTATATTGTAAGTAATAAAAACTTTGTGCATGAAATGTATATTTTGTTCCTATTCCGATCCATTTTTTCAATCTTCTGCATGAAGGCGCCTTTTTTCTTATGGGCTAGCATTAACTAATAATGTGATAATATCGCCAAGGAATGGCCTGATTATTACCCAACACAGAAATGTTATGTGGTGCCCACTTTGCTTTCTGAAACTGTGTTGTGTGCCCCAGCACCAAAAAATGTTGAGTACCTCTGAACCAGAGCATATCTATTTATATTAGCCACATGTTAGCAGAATTGTTCCACAAAATAATTCAGTTTTAAGTTATAGCTAAAAATTTGATATGTGAATATCCTTCATAATATTTAACTCTTTTATGACCAAAAGGCCTTTCATTCAAACAATGAATGGCCAAGATCACATGCTTTTTTTCTACCCTCCCCCTTAAGTGTACAATAATCTTAAGGTGCAGTTTCCCCAAATGCATTTTATCAGTTCATCTTCATTGTAGACAGTCTTGTTATAAAATGATTCTTTTGTGATTCCTTATCTTTAGATTAAAAGTGACTAAGTATACACTGAATGGTTAATGGAAGCTCTTACGTTAGGCACTAGAAACAATATGATTTGAAACTTTTGTGCTTCTTTTTTCAGGAATGAATGGAGGGGGGATTGTTGAGAATCTTGAAATTTAATTTGAGGTGTCTTGATATTTTAAGCAAACAAATAAGCAAAGGCCTTGGTCTTCAAAGGGTTAATATGTAAATTATGAAGAATATTTAGATAGAGCCATAAAATTAAAAAAGAAAAAAGATTTTTACCCCTATGCATGTATTAGTTAGCACTAAAAAATTAAATATTTAATTTTGTTACTCAGTTGTAGAGTAAAAACTTTGCTGTGTATTTTGGAAAAGTTTATCAAGAAGTATTTTTCTGTATAAAAATATAATTACATAACTGTACATACTAATATAAATATGAATGATCAAATGAACAAATGTGATAAATTCAGAATTTGATTTATTTTAACACTGTCATTTCATATATTAAATATCTTTATAAATTTTTATTTTGCTATCCTGTATATAATTTAAGAAATTTTAAAGACAAAGATTTTATTTGATTATCTGTGTATTGCAAATAAACTCATTTTGAAAATTTTTCAGGCGTTTCATGATTCCAAATTCTCTTATTAATAGAAGTAAATGGAAGAAAAAGGGTGTCAAGTTACATATATTTAATGATCATGTATTTGTGGCCAAGCATCTTTCAGGGTATATTACTATTATTATTATTATGTTTTGTGATTTTTGTTAAAACATTTAAGTGCATCTCTAATCTGATGGTAAATCATTTTAATTCTTCCTTAAAGTGCCATACATACTTATTTACACCAAAAAAGAAAGATAAACTATTTGAAATTTGATAGAAACCTCAAAGATGGCATATTTTTGTGTGTGCAAAGTAATCTTTCAGTTTTCAAATCGAATGGCTTTAGTAGAATTCCTGTAAGAAAGTGACACTACCTTCATACCTGCTGTAGTTTTTACAGAAAAAAAGCGCAAAAGATGAATTTTTCACTGTTTGTGTTTCCTTCACTCAGTACCATGTGGTGATTCACAAAAATATATGAGCATATGAGTGATGGCACTAATAAAGTGTAAACATGTGAATAAAATGTGAAATACATGACACTTTAGAATAAATTACAAGGAAATTCCAGGTGTATGAATGTTGAAATAAAAATTATACAGTACAAAGTCCAATATCCGGAATGATCTAAAATCTGGACCACCAGTCATTTTTTTTGGGGGGGGGGGTTCTTAATCTCACTTTGGCACTAAATAAAATACATCATTATTGAAGAAATAATCATTTTAGTATAAATTTGTGTGATCAATAATTTGACTCCGTGGCTGCTTATCTCTTGGCATACATCTCAAAACAAAGCATTCTATATATAAACATTCTTAATTTTACACCAACTATTATTTTATATCCTTGATGCCAACCTGGCAAATCATTATTTATTATATTTTTCTTTCATCGCCACATGTTTATCAACACATAAGAATTTGAGTAATGACTCATGCAGTGATGCATAAACAATTTTTTTATATTAATAATCAAATAAGGAAGAGTATGGTAATCTTTTCTATTGACATTATGTTTGCCCGGATTACAGATTTAAGTGCTCTAAGAAATGTTAATGAGGAAAGATTTAACAAAATTCATATGCTAAAAGTAGATTTTGTTAATGATACTCATAGGCTAAAAGATTACATTTAGTGCTATTTTAATTAAGAATAACTGATTTGTTAGTCACACACATTCTGATAAAACAAATATATATCAGTGAAAAACTAGTGTTGTATAGCCCTTTAAAATTATTTATTTATATTTATTAGGTCAACTACTTGTAAAGTGTGTCAAAAATACTTAACCAGGAGGCCTGGGAAACAAGGCTATGAATGCAGAGGTAGCTGTTTTTATTCTGTTATAAAATGGCATGTACTCGTGAAAGAAAAAAAAAAAAATGTATTATTTTTTCTTCTTTTTCTTTTCAGGGTGCAACTTACAGTGCCATAAAAGCTGCCATGTAAAAGTTACTACCTATTGTTCAAATAGTTCTGTAAATTCTATGGAAGTGTATGTATTAGAATTTTTTTAAAAACAGTTTATTTTTTGCATCTGAAATTATTAGTTCCATAACATTGCAATGAAATTAATTTTTGTTATTGTTTTCAGTGAATATATTCATGATCCCAGAGGGGCAACTCCAAAATCAATCTAATTTTCAGGCCGCATTTAAACTGCAAAGTATCAGCATATGAAATTGCTTTGTACAACATAGGATGCTTCATACTGTATTTAAGTCTTTCATTAATAAGTGCGCCATTGTGTAATATGTATTTTTTATCAAATCACTCGATGAAAGCTGTAGTTGCTTTATAAAGTTGCCATTATAAATGAATGTTACGCACCAGTTGCCTGATACATACATATATATATATATGTATATTTATTTACATGTATGCATAAGCATATAAATAAAAAACTAGTGATATAAGACTTTCAAAGCAAAAATTCTTATTATGCCTCTTAAAATTATGTTAAGAAAGAGTTTGCTTTAAATGATTATAAAATATATTTGTTAATTATGATAATTTTCTTGTAAATGCTCATAACTTAAAGGACCAATATAGTGAAATGCTTTACTTATCCTTGTTAGGAGCATTGGAATTTAATTTGGTACCCTTGCTTTTTTTTATATTCTGTGTTCCTTTATGTAGTTTTATATTGTTAAGTGTGTGTTTAAGTAAAATGTAAACTAAAATCTTAAATCTTGATTCCACCCGCTTTATTATTTTCTTTTTTGTTTATTTCACCTTGTTATAATTTGTTCCTATAATTTTAAATAATGTTTATTGAAAATATTGTTGACAATCGCTAATTGCTGTTAATATGTTAAATGTTTAGAAAATATGTTCCTGTATTTTTATAGAGCTGATTGTTATCAAGTGATAAAAGTACTTATTTACATTAGAATGCTCAGAAATATTGATTTTATCTCCTGTTGTTTTTTAATGTTTTTATCTTACGGATTTGTTTATTTTTAAATATATGTTCCTGTCATGATTTTTAATTATATGCTAGAATACCTATAAGGTACTGTTATAGCAGTCTACAGCTAATTTGTTTGTAATAGAGGCCAAGTTCAATAATTGTGTATAATGTAATGTTATGGAATTATTTATTATCAGGGTTGGAAATAGGATATTAATTTTAAAAGGGTTACATACGTTTTTATCTAAATGTAGTCTATATTACTTTTACAGGCAATTTATTTTAATACGTGACTGAAAATTTTTAAATTTGAAATAATTTGTTAATATTTTTAATGGTGAACTTTGTTTTGAAGTTTATTAAAAATGTATTCATCTTAATTGGCATTAAGTAATTAATTTTAAAATATAAGTAAGAACAACTTGGTTGATGATAATTAGTTAAACTTCATTATTTTTTAAACTTTTTTAAAAGCAGCAAAATCGGTTAATTAATATGAGGTCTTTTTTTACTATTAGTTGAACTAATACTATTCTTGCAAATCTATTTATGGATTTCCAATTCAATTTTACTTTTTGTCTCAGTTTCAGAAGTTAGCTTTCATTTCCAGGTCATATTGTATGTCTTTCTACACATAAAATCATTATAGTTATGGTCAGAGCTTCATTAACTTCTTATTTTGTGCTGTATGACTTGGAAAGTTTTGTATGGTGAAGTCTGGATATGCATCCTTTATGATGACTTATGCAACATAATTCAACCATAAATAATATTTTACTCACACAGACATAAGATATGTGTATGTATGTATAATCTATTAATTAACCCTGATAATCATCTAATGACATAAGCTTATAAATTATGATCATAAACTCAGTCTTTTATGCCAAGAGATTCCCTTCATTTTACATCTTTTGAACAGTACTTTATGCAAATCAAGATATTTATTTTATAAATTTTTATTAAAACAATTAGTTTTCTTTCTGATTGCTTCTTAAAATTTATGACTGGAAGTTGTTAGAATTTAATAAATTTAGTTTTATGTCTTAAATGTGGAAATAAGTGTGACATGCTTCTTATGTAATATGTGGTTTTGTTAGTGTTTATTCACATATATGTATATCCCTTTATAAGTAAGATATACTGTATGTAAATTCTACTATCTATTCATTCAGTATTAATTATGCATTATGTTTAAAATAGTTATATAAAAGAAATATGAAAGTATTTTGCAGTAAGATAATCCTTATCTTTTTGTTCATTTAAATATAATGTTCAAAATGTTGTGTATAAATTTTTGGAATATTCTGTACTCTAAATTTTATATTGGAATACAGAATAATCCATAGCATGAATAATTCAAAAAAAAAAATGATGGCGATCGCTCTGTGTACTTTTGCACTTAATCCTTTTATTTAACTCTTTGAAATTCATCTTGTGTATTACATATACATTTTTTCTATACATTTGTTATTTGTACAAGTATTTGTACGATAATTTAAATAACCACATTTTGAAAAATACAACTATACAACTTTGCCTTTCTATATCTCTTTCTATGTTTAGAGATGTGTATGTGCATATGTGCTGTAATACTCTTATAGTCTAGATAACTAAATTTGAATTTGTGTACTATAAATACAAAAATGAAATTATTTATTTTGCTCCAGACTGTTTCTTTTACATTAGTAACAATATTTAATTTTTGTAATTAAATAATTTATATTTTCTTTTTAAGGAACTGAGAAAGCCTTTCTTCCTTCAATGAGGTCTCCTACTAAAATGTTTGAATGGTCAGTAATATTCCAGTGATATTTACTGCCATGGATACTCTGTTTTAAATGAACGTCTTTTTGTTTATTTGTATCAATGATTTTATATGAATTTCTTTAATTAAAATTATTTTAGTATGACTTCTATTGTATATTAAACTTTATTATTCAGAATATATTTAGTATATTCTTATGGCAGTATTATTTTTACTTTAAAACATTTTGAACACAGGTAGTCCTTGACTAATGACAGCCAAAAATTGAAATTACAAATTGTCTCATTTAAGTTTACCACCACATATACACATTGATTTTGTATGTATGCTTTGTTGCAATATGATGATCATGATGTCACTGCAACTTTAAAATGTGTAATATTATTTTTGCCAAGGTTGTTTATTTTTCATTATTTGCTTGTTGTTGTAAGTAGTACAATACTCTGGACATATATAATATCTGCATTAAGGTGTAATGCAGTTACCATGTGTTCATAATTACCACATGCAGGGTTTTTTTTTTTTTTTTTTTTTTTTTTAATCCAAAAAATTGAGGTGTGTGGCTTATACAAAACAAAGCAATAAAGGCCGGGTAAACACAAGTTGGTCGTAAGTACGAGTAAATTATTTCTTTTTCAAGCTAAGGTACACCCAGGAAATATGATGGTACTATACCCTCTCAAATAATAAATCCTGACCAGGGATTTTTGTAGAGGATATACCAGTATTTTCACCAAACTGCTATTCTCTGAATGGTTTTTGCCAAACTTGGCTTCTTAGTCATAACATTGGCAACAGCACTGGAGCTCAGCTGATAAGGAAGAAGAAAATGCCAGCAGTTTAGAAAGCATCACTGATAACAGAAGTGCAGAAGACGAGGAAGATTGGCAATCTACATTGTGTTTTCAGACTGAAAAAGTGGGAAGAAGTGCCATGGTGTGGTATGTTATCTGCCTTTGTTAGATTACTAGTAGATTATAAAGGATCACTCAGGAGTATTAAATCCATATTTAGTGCAGTGATTGTTGCCGACTAAAGCTATTGTTTAACGAATAAAACTTACTTAGATTAGGAGCTTTTTTTATTTCTGCCATAGAATGAAATTCTGGTAACCGATTTATTCCTTCCCATTTAAATGTTACTGTGTATGTACTACTTTCACAAGCAATAAGGAGCTGCAAAAACTGCACGTGGTAGCTCAGATTTCTTTCCTGATAACCGTCAATCGGTATCATATTTCTTTATTTCTTTATGCTCGTAATCCAGAAAAAAGATTTCTCTAAATTAAGCTTTCATTAAGCTCGATGAAAATCTGCACACCATATTCGCGAACATTTTTTTCTCTTTTGGTGCATAGAAAAAATCTGGTATTTGGTGGTGCGTAGTATTCGTTAACATATGTTATTTAATATCACCATAGTATTCTATTATCATACAAGCAAATAATGAAAAGTAATTAACATTTGCATAGGTCACATACTGCGTTTTGTAAATGCAGCGACAAAAACTCGTTAAAAAATGTCCGTTTACAGCTACTAAGACCCGCATACTTGTAATGTGTTTAATTCTTTGATATGGCAGTTTTTTTTTTTTTTTTTCCAGAAGTCAAAATGTACATATGTTGTGCTGAAATTTTTATATCTTATCAAATCACTTATTAAGATAAGTAAAACTGATGAAAATTCGATCATACAAAAGATGAGGAGAAAGACTTTAAATTTTAAAATAAAAATTATCGAAGATTACGAGAGTGGGAGAAATAGCTTGGGAAGAAAGACTGTCTCATTCAGCCATTTCAGAAATGATAAAAGTTATGAGAACAGAAAAGGTATTTTAAAATGCACAGTTTTGACAAGAGAGGAGTCAGAAGGCCCCTTATTCATTGAATGGAAAAAAATTGTTGATTGTATAAATAGATGATTACAGTAACAAGAATAATCTACTGTGTTTATTAGCTATATAAATGAAACAACACAGCCTATTTGATAATCAAAACAATTTACAAGAAGATAAATGCAGCAAGGAAACATTTAAGGTTAGTAGGGATTGGTTTTTAACAATTTAAAAGTCAATTTGCATAACATAAATAAGAGAAGAAATTACTAGTTCCAGTTTTGTAGCTGCTGAAAATTTCAAGAAAAGTCTGCAAGGAATGCAGAATTATGGTTTCTCCTCGAGGAAATTGTGTTGGTTTTAAATTAAAGCCACTTTTTATTTATCATTTATGAAACCCGAGAGCTTTAAAATATAATTAACAAGAATAAATTGCTAATTTACTGCATGAGTAATCCCGAGTCTTGAATGACATTTTTTTATATTATTTGAATGGTTTTTAAACTGTTTTATTCCAAAGATGCATGCCTACGATCTTGTGGGTGGGTAGTAAATGTTAATATTATAAAAGGGATATAGCTACTATTCAGAGCAACAGCTGAGATTTAACCTGTAGATCAAGGTTTCATTGCTACATTCAAGTGATGTTATCTGGGAATTATGTTTTCTCAAGCAATAAGGACATTGAAAACTATGTGGTTTAGATCAATATATCTAAAATATTAGAACTTCATAAAAATAAGTTTCAGAATAATGCATATAAGGAATTTAGAAAAAGTTGCTGCTGTCAGAAATGCTGAAAGAGTACAATAAGCATGACATCTTGGAATAAATTGGTGAAGTGGTTGGAAAAATGCTTGATCTAGATCAGATGTAAGACAATAGAATATGCAGATCATCAAAAAGATGAACTGACTGATGATGATTTCATTAATTTCCAAAATGAAATAGTTTAAAAGAAGAAAAGGATGATGAAGAAAAGATATCGTAAAAAAAAATTATGTCAAAAAGATCAACTGAAACATTTTATGAATTAAATTAATTACTTAGCTATTTGAAAATATGAATCAAAACACTGATTCTTTTTGTTCAAGTTGAAGATCAAATCTGAGTAGTAGTCAGATGTTATTATGAAGCATAATATAAAAAAATAAATAAAAAGGACAACAATGAATTTTCTGAGTAAAGAAACTACTTCCATTTGCAATGAATCATCCAAATGAGTAACACATACTGACCTGTTACTTTTAGTTAAAGAAATCATTTAAATGTTTCTGTTCATAAAATATGTGTGAATGTAATGCATATACAGTCAAAAGTCTTTAATCCGGACTCGTCGGGACTTCGGCGATTCCGGATTCTAGATCTTCAGTTTAAAGCTGGTAAGATGGCATGCAGAAATTATAAAATAAAAATATGAAACTGTAATTTATGAAATAAAGAGCAATTATGATCTAAAGGATATCAAAATTTACAAAAAAAAAAAAGCTTAATATTTATTTGTTTACTTTATTAAACATTTCTTTCAACGTGCGTATAGCATACATTACACATAGTCGAAATTAGAAAAGAAAATTGCAACCAGTAAACTATTTGATGGTATCGTGATATTTATAATGACGAGGAATTTGATTTAAGTCATATAAAAGGCAGAATACATCGAGATGAAATACTACATTTAGTAAGGAATTATAAGCTCAATAAAATACGAAACATCTGCCCTGAAGATAAGGATAGTGCTGACAAATCAACTTCCAGTTCATTACGTGTCGCGACGTTCCCCCACCGCAGAGCAGTGTGAAATTGATAAACAGATTTCGGAATGGTTAGAGAAACAAAGGATATGCCTTTATCCATTTTTTGCAGCAATTCCACTTTTTGTTTGATGGACATCGAAACATACTTTCGCTTTCTCTCCAGCATCAGAAATTCTATTTAACATAATCGAAAGTTCAAGCTTACTTTTATAAAATTGCTCTAACAATCTGCAATAAATAATAAGCCGGATCCAATTCAAAGATTAAGGAACAACGCAATCTGCAACATTAACTGAAATAGATAATTACATAATTTTAGCTTAGCTTATACCATCCGTTATACATTAAATGAGCATGCGTAAACGTATTATGCGCATGTGTAAAAGTATTATGCGCATGCGTGAACGCATTATGCGTTGACGCATGCACAGAATGTTTGTAGCTTTGAGGTCTGGATTATAGATCATTCCGGATTATGGGTGTTCGGATTAACGACTGTTGACTGTATGTAATTTTTAAAATATGTAAATGAAAATACTAACTTAATCTGCGGTAGTTATTAAATTCTCTAATTTAATGTGGATATTTTCTACTTCCATCCTGTACATAACGCTGGTGACATAACTAACACACAAACTGAAATTCAAACAACCAAATTTTAAGTCCATTAGATAAGTACAAACCAGAAACTTTTTCTTTTTGAACTAAACTTCTTCATTTGGGAATATGTTGCATTTGCTTTTCCTCTTCATTTCTGTCAACTTGTTGTAACCTGCTGTCTTAAAAAATGTAAAATTTTATACAATAAGTGCATTTACCACAAAAATGTTTTTGTGTTGGCAATAAGAATGTTTGTCAATGAGAAATAAAAAGCAATGTTAAAACTTGGACATGGACTGAAAGCAACTTCATGCTTCGACAATATTTCTGCAGAACATTTCCCAAATCATTATACCCACACACATAGGATTATTTGGAGAATAGCTGTAATGGATTGGATTGGCAATGGTTCTCTGCATTGTAATAACTTGGAGAGGCTTTACTGTGTAGTTAGCTGAAATGGGTAACAGAGAAAAATCAGAAGTCATGGCAGAAATTAGCAAAACCGAATTTATTTCTCAACACATTCTACATCACACGTCATTTTGTGTATGAGATGCACCCGACAATTTCATGCTTCTTACATATCTTGAAACAAAAGCATAAAGCATAGCAATAAGCACATGCAGCAAGCAAAGGGAAGAAAAAGGAGGCTTTTACAATAGTAACACTGGTATTCATATACAAAAATTTCTTTAATCTCTTTTCCTGAGAGTTTACCACATTGCATAAACACAAAATGGATTAATTTTGAGATGAGGCACTTCAGATGCCTAGATTAGTATTTTTATGACAGGAAGGGGACATGGCCAAGTTAAAAATAGTAATTTTGAGTTTCATTTTTTTATCTTACATATTTATATACAAATAAATTTTTATAAATATTATGAAGTTTGTACTTTTCTTAAACTCATTTTTGTTAAATGAAAACCTAATTTATGAAAGTGTTATAGAGAATAAGTCCCCAAGTTTGTCAGAATCAATTTGCAAGA